TCCTGATCCCTGCTCGGCTTCCTGTTCCTGACTATCCGGTGCTCCTGTTCCCTGCTCGGCCTCCTGTTCCCGACCATCCGGTGTTCCTGTTCCCTGCACAGCCTCCTGTTCCAGCACTCCTGTTCCCCGCCCGGCTCTCTGCCTCGGACCTTGCCCCTCTTCGTGTGGACTCTGCTACACCCAAGGTACCTTACCCCCGGGACCAGCACAGCAAGTAGATAAATAGGTACCACTCCAGCAGGAAGGTAAATGGCGTTTCCGTGCGCTGCTCTGGTTCTCCAGAAGCAGCTTAGTCATGCTGGCCACATGACTAGGAAGCTGTACACCGGCTCCCTCGGCCAATAAAGCGAGATGAGCACTGCAACCCCAGAGTCGGCCACGACTGGACCTAATGGTCAGGGGTCCCTTTACCTTTAAGGAGTCTCAAAGCGTCTAACAATCTCCTTTCCCTTCCTCCCCCACAACAAACACTCTGTGAGGTGAGTGAGGCTGAGAGACCAGAGAAGTGTGACTAGCACAAGGTCACCCAGCAGCCGCATGTGGAGGAGCGAGGAAGCAAACCCGGTTCACCAGATTACAAGTCCACCACTCTTAACCACTACACCACGCTGGCTGGTTGTTGGTCTGAGACTGCAGTGGCACAACTTTCAGTTGGGAGCATGAATGATTGACAGAAAACAGTGTTTCCCAAACTTGGGCCTCCAGATGTTTTTGGACCACTGGTCCTGCAAGCTAGGGATGACGGGAGTTGTAGTCCAAAAACAGCTGGAGACCCAAGTTGGGGAAACACTGACCTACTAACAAAATAAAAGGGGGATCTAACAAGATCCACTCATTGTCAAAATTAATGTTCCAATTTGGTCTCAGATTCCCCATATTTCTTTTGAACGCTAAAGCCTGCATGATTCATTAGGTTTCCATTCATTGTGAAACTAAGATAGCAAATTATATCCTTTTGTAAATGGAATCATTACAGCAGTAATTTACAAAATATATTTAGCCCTTTGATGATCTTTTGCAAAGGAGAAAAAGGAGCTCCATATACTTTTAAACACATTGCCAATCAGTTATCATTTTAAAACTGTATTACTTCTTGGAAAATATTTTTGTGTACATCTGATGTCCAAATTGGGATGTAGTCGCACACTATGGGTTTTCTAATTGTCAGAAAGATTAAAGCTTTAATGGAATGTGTGAACAAGACATAATGGTAAATTGCCTTAAATTGATTCACTTTTTAGTTCGACATTGTTCTAGCTCAAAAGCAATGCAAATCAGCTTGTCCATCAAGGGTGACTGGTATATTAAATGTTCTGTTGAGTAATGTTGCTATAACTTTTTTGGTGTTTCTGATGGTGATATACATACAGAAATTACCAGTGTGGACTACAAAGCCCTTGCAAACATTTTGAAGACCATTGAATTCTGGGCTTAACTTTCAAAGGGGAGGTTAAAGGACTAAAAGGGAATGACATAGCTTTTCGCTTTCTTTAAGGAGAGTTGGAAGTGACCCATAACTGCCCCATAACTGGGTGGTATGGCCAGTCAGGAGCACAGTTGGGAGGCTGGGACCAAGCAAACACAATGGCAGAAGTGCTCTCATTGGGCCTATGAACCTTTTGCAGCACAACCCTAAACATGTTTACGCTCTGTTCAATAGGGTTTACTCCAAGGTTTACCTTCCTGCCACAGGAGTACCTATTTATCTACTTGCACTGGTGTGCTTTCGAACTGCTAGGTTGGCAGGAGCTAAGACAGAGCAAAGGGAGCTCACCCCGTTGTGGGGATTTGAACCACTGGCCTACTGATCGGCAAGCTCAAGAAGCTCAGTGGTCTAGACCAGTGTTCCCCAACCTTGGGGCTCCATCTGTTTTTGGACTACAACTCCCATCATCCCTCGCTAGCAAGACCAGTGGTCAAGGATGATGGGAATTGTAGTCCAAAAACAGCTGGAGGCCCAGGGTTGTGGAACACTGGTCTAGACCACAGCGCCACCCACATCCCTTGCGTTTCCATGCATTTTCAGGCACTCTGGTTTCTGTCACGGTGTCCCATAGCGCCAGAGGCAGTTTAGTCATGCTGGCCACATGACCCGGAAAGCTGTCTGTGGACAAATGCTGGCCCCCTCGGCCTAAAAGCAAGATGAGCGCCGCAACCCCATAGTCGCCTTTTACTGGACTTAACCATCCAGGAGTCCTTTACTCTTACCTTACTCCAAGGTTAAAATGTGCACAGGAATACAGGCTTAATTACAGCACCTCCCTGATGACTTATGGCACCAACCCTGGATAGAACGATGTTATTGTCACCTTGAGAAATCTGAGAGGAGACATAACATGGAGGTTGGCAGTAGGAAACCTCTTAAAATATTTGGATGGTGAAGGATAGGAAGGTGGAATATAAACCATATATTTAGAGCACTCCCAAGAATCTTGGGAACTGTAGTTTGTTAAGGGTGCTTGGAATAGTAGCTATGTGAGGGGTAAATTACAGTTCTCATGATTCTTTAGGGTTGCTTTAAATCACAGAATTGTAGAGTTGGATGACCCTGTGGATCATCTAGTCCAACCCCCTGCAATACAGGAATATGCAGGGATCGAACTTACAACGTTGGCATTATTAGTCCCTTGCTCTAACCAACTGAGCTATCCAGGCTTTAAATGGACAGCTGCGACTACATTTTCATACAAATCCCCATTTAGTTGACGTCCTGCTACTTTCTTCCATTATTCCTTCAATAATATTCATGGTTTACATTTCCTAAGTTCCTTAGAACTAGATTTCAACTCATTTTCTGTAGGCATATTAAGAATGATTGATGAATATTAAACACAGAGAGGTTATGTCAAATGCTATGTGGGCAGGATGAGCAATCAGGAACAGCATTTGCTAAGTTTCTTCTTGAGAGACACTTTTAGGAGAATGGAAAGAAAAATGTAAGTTACTTGTTCCGGACTACAGTGGTACCTTGGGTTACAGAATCTTCAGGTTACAGATGCTTCAGGTTACAAACTCCACTAACCCAGAAATAGTACCTTGGGTTAAGAACTTTGCTTCAAGATGAGAACAGAAATTGCATGGCGGCGGTGTGGCGGCAGCTGGAGGCCCCATTTGCTAAAGTGGTACCTCAGGTTAAGAACAGTTTCAGGTTAAGAAAGGACCTCCAGAACGAATTAAGTTCTTAACCCGAGGTACCACTGTATATATTATGAAGCTGGACAAAACCTTTAGTTCAATTCAGCTGCACTCTTCTTCTTCCTTTAATTATTTAAAATGCTGTGAAATGGCTAGATACAAATTCAATAAAACAGAGAATACAGCACAAAGCAATACATAGTATAACAATAGCATAAAAACTCATCTGCATCTTAGTGCGAACTTTTCCTAATGAACACATTTTTGCAAGCCATTTCCCCAAATATAAATGCATATTATGTGTTATTTGCTCCAGCAGTATGCATTTGTAGGCACACTCACCTATAATATACACATTCTTGTACATATTACCTGGTTGGAAAACTGCATGACAAAATTCGGTGACGTGTGAATTTTGATTGAGAGCTGTGATTCGTCTTGCGTGTTCTGGGAAATTCAAATTGGAAAGGTTCGCATAGAAATACGAATCTCAACATCTTTCCCCTCCATCCCCGCATCTCTTGCTAGTGGGTGACACATCAGGGCAGGATCCTCCGCACGTGTTTGACTCTGCCAGCTTCCAGTGCCAGACCCGACCTCCCTTGTCATACTTAACTCTGCTTAATGGCAAACATATTGTCTCAGCTGTTCATTGCAAGCACGCATTACCATTTCCTTTGCCCATGCTGCTGCTATTGCTCAATCCACATCAGGGAGCTTTTTAAAATGGACAAATAAAGAAACTCGCTATAAACTCACAGGGCAATTTGAAACTGTGCTTTGTGCAACTCTGCGTGATTGTTCCTGGTAATATATCTTAGAAAATGAGGACAGGAAGAACCTGTGATGGCTGCCACTTTTTTTTCAGGCAGCAAAGGGATACAGAGAGTGCACAAATGCTCAGCTACATCTCGACTGAGGCTTTGCGCTAACTGTTCTCGACTCCTTCTGAATGTATGAGGCAATTCTCTGTAGGGGATCAGGAAAAGATGCCAGAGCAGGTGCTCAGCACCTCCCTGACTGCTCTCCCCCCCTTTTATTCCAAGTGTGGGTCTCTGCTTTGCCAGGAGGCAAAATGCCAACCCACCTCCTCCCCTACAATGCAGGTGGCTATTTGCCCAAAATCCCTTGCTTGGATTGTTTGCATTGGCAGGCCTTTTGCTCCCCAATAATCCTTCTTTCACGTGGGCCCTGGGTTTTGTTTCCAAAATGTTGACTCCCAGGATGACAGCGAGCATTTCCAGATGATTTGCTTTGCATGCAAAAGTTTCAAGGCTCTGGCTTCCTTCTCCTCCTTCCTTTGGGAAGAGTCATGGCTCAGTGCTGGAGCATCTGTCTTGCATGCAGAAGGTGCCAGGCTCAATCTGTAATGAAGATGATAATTTTATTATTTATACTCCACCCATCTGGCTGGGTTGCCCCAGCCACTCTGGGTGGCTTCCAACACATATATAAACATAATATAACAACAACCATTCAAAGCTTCCTGATACAGGGCTGCCTTCAGATGTCTTCTGAAAGTTGTATAGTTGTTTATCTCCTTGACACCTGATAGGAGGATGTGCCACGGGGCACCACTACTGAGAAGGCTCTCTACCTGGTTCCCTGCAACCTCACTTATTGCAGTGAAGGAACCGCCAGAAGGCCCTCGGCACTGGACCTCAGTGTCTGGAAGTGGAGACATTCCTTCAGGTATACTGGGCTGAAGCCATTTAGGGCTTTGAATTGTGCTCAGAAACATACTGGGAGCCAGTGAAGATCCTTGAGGACCAGTGCAATATGGTCCTGGCAGCCACTCCCAGTCACCAGTCTAGCTGCCGCATTCTGGATTAGTTATAGTTTCTGAGTCACCTTCAAAGATAGTCCCACGTAGAATGCATTGTAGTCGTCCAAGCAGGAGAAAACCAGAGCATGTGCCATTCTGGGGAGACAATGTGCAGCAGATAGGGTCTCAGCTGGCGTACCAGACGGAACTGACTTTACCTCCATGGACAGTTGTGAGTCCAAAATGACTCCCGGGCTGCACACCTGCTCCTTCAGGGACACAGTAACCCCATTCCAGACCAGGAAGTCCCCCACACACCCCTGTCCCCCAGAAGGTGTCCCTGGGCAGAGCTGAGAAAACCCCAGTTGAAACCCTATTGAGCCACTGCAGGTCAGTTTGGACAACTCCAAAGTGGAAGGATCCATGGTCTCATTTGGTACAAGGTGCCTTTCTGTGTTCCTATTTCAGTCACTGTGAGAAACTGCAGCAGCCTCATATAGAATCCTCAGCAAGTAATTTCTATTTCAGTCCAAGTACAGAGTTCTTTCCATTTTCCAATAAAAGTGTCCCTCAAGAAGAAACCTAGCAAATGCTGTTCCCGATTGCTCATCCTACCCACACAGCTTTTGACATAACCTTTCTGTGTTTAATATGCGTCAGTCATTCTTCATAGATATGGCCACAGAAGGCTCTGGATTTCTCACCCCCCCTTCCTTTGGGGAAGAGCTGTAGCACAGTAGCAAAGGGACTGCTTTGCATGCAGATGATACCAGGTTCAATCCCTATAAGGTTGGAACAGACTCTGATCTGGAACCCTGCAGAGCTACTGCCAGTCTGTGTAGACGAGAGTTTCCCAAACTTGGGTCTCCAGCTGTTTTTGGACTACAACTCCCATCACTCCTGACCACTGGTCCCGGAAGCTAGGGATGGTGGGAGCTGTAGTCCCAAAACAACTGTCTATGCCCCTTTTCTGAGCTTCCTCCAAATAGGGGACAGCTTTTTATGAGCTCCCTCCTTTTTTTCTTTTTTTAACTGTAGGCTCAACCTCTTTCCCATGGTCTCAGTAATGAACTTTTATGTGCACCAGACTGACTTTCTAATTACTCTGGTTGCCAGGGCATGGAATAGGTTTAGCAAACAGCCCAGTGTTGGCTTGGAGTACGGCCGTAAAGTTGCCATTTACTCCTAAGAATCAAAGTAACAAGCTATGTTGCATCAAGAAGGCTGCTGCAAAGAAGGCTAAGACTTCTCCAGGCATATAATAGTAGTCAGTCCTGGCCCGGTGGCCAATGAGGAAGGGGCTAAGTCTCTGTAAACAGTTCACCCTGAGGTGCATTGCCACCTGCTCCACAAGGCATTTGGAATGTGAAAGTTATGCAACACTGTGAGTCATATTCACAGGGACATTGACAGCATCTTAAAGTAGGCAAAATGTCCCTCTGCTGAGGTTCAGCAATACCTTTTCAGTAATTTCTTCTCTTTCTTTCTTTTTTGGGCGGAGGGAGGCTGACAAACTGGGTCTGCCCAATTTCACTTTTCTATACAAATATTAAAGCGGAACCCTGTCAGTGGGGTAGGAGAGCTGAAAATAATGTCAATTTATTTCATATCTGGCAACCAATGCTCCCCTTTGGTTTCAGATAGTACGTGGGTAGATGAGTCTAAAAACTTGGACACAAATTTCCATGGCCCTCTAGAGGCTATGGTGGCACATTTACCAGAATACTCTATTCTGACCAAACTAAGCCTCCTAGAGCACAATTTACATCAGGAGGTTTAGTCTAGGCAGAATTGAATATACATCTCCAGAGTTAATGCTAAATACCTTACTTCTGGTAAATGTGCCACCATAGACGCTAGACAGTTGTGAAAAATGGTGTCCCAGACTTTTTAGACTTGTCTACCCATGTACTATCTGAAACCCAAGGGGCCCATTGGTTGCCAGATGTGAAATATATTGACATTATTTTCATCTCTCCTTCCTCACTATATCCTCTTTTTCACCTGGTCATCCTACCCAGTGCCAGATTTACGTATAAGCTAAACAAGCTACAGCTTAGGGCCCCACTCTCTTGAAAAAACAAAAATTGAAAAAACAAAACCTGGATGTACATTTCCAATATAAGATAAAAAACAAATAAAAGAAAGCCTATATACGGCAACAGTGCTTTGTGTTGCGTAGGCTCCTATGACGTAAGTAATGGGCCCTGCCTGCTAGCCTGCTCACTAAAATATCACTGGTTTGCTCATTTCTATATACAGTGGTACCCTGGTTCTCAAACTTAATCCGTTCTTAATTACCATATAGCATATATTCAACACAAAAGAACAATGACAATTTGTTGTTGACAAAGGACAGCTGGACATATAAAGGGCCCCATTACCTTCAGTAGCTTTGGGCCTCATCAAACTCTTCCTTTAAATTCCTGGGAGTTTACCTTAGTGAAGACCTCACTTGGAAAAACAATATAACTCAGGTGGTTAGGAAGGCCCAAAAGAGACTCCCATTTTCTCAGGGTCTTGCGAAAGAACAATGTTAAGCAACAACTGATGACCTCCTTCTACCGGACCACAATAGAAAGTGTCCTCTCATATTGTATCACAGTGTGGTATGTTGGCTTGACAGAAAGTCTTTACAGAGGGTGGTGAACACAGCACATGATATCATGGGCTGTCCCCTGAGCCCGCTAGATGACATCGCAGGGGATCGTTGCCTTAGGAGAGCGAGAAAAATTCTCAGGGACGATTCACACCC